AGCCATCTTCAGAACCATTTCGGGAACGCCGTCGCTACCAGTAGCCTTACTTGGGTCGATGTTCGTTAACAGTTTCACTGCTTGCTCTGTGGTGCAGGGTTGGAAAGTGAGAAATCCAGGTTCATTATGCGAACCGTGAGGAACGGAGAAGACGTCGCGCATCCGTAACGATTTCACCAAACGTCTAGCTGAGATCATCGAGTGATGCCTGTGGCTCTTGATGCGACTTCGACCTGCCAAATGAGGACTGAGACCTCTACAACAGGGTTTTTACGCCTGAAATCAGGTGCATGATTTAACAAGCAGGTTGTCAGTCTAGATTTTAAGCACAGATGGAGAAAAATGCGCAGAATTTTCGTAATGAGATGAAAAGCAGAAATAATAAGAAAAGATGAAATGAAAGCCTGCTAACAACCCCGCCCAGCCTTGCAAACTGAGAGAGAGAGCACAGTTTGAAGTGTTTGTCTCACTGTAATTACTCCAGATTATTGAATGGTGTATGATCTACTCGATATTTTCTATAATGGTTTTTCCTGATTTGCGGGATCTCTTCTTTTGCTGTTTGCGTGTTCACAGGAAGTGACTGTCTGGTGTATCTGCACTGGCTCCTGGGGAAATGAGGTCAGATGCGGAGGCAGGGTCGTCCAATGATGCAACACTGACGTTCTATGTGCAACGTCCCGGCTAATTCCCCCCGCGAAAACACAAAAAGACAAGCACGTGACAAGACTACAGTATTGACCGTTCTGGTAATGAATCGTGACTGCTCGGACAGAGCACCAGCATTATGTTTTCATATTGGGAACCACACACCAGCTCAATTCTCAAGTCCAAAAATTGATGAATACAAAACACAGAGCAAGGCCACAAGAAATCATTCGGCAACCAAGCCGACTTTGGTCTAATGCACTGAATAGTCCTGAAATACGCAGGCCACACAAAGCAGTGCAAGCACATACTGTTACAAGGTACATTTAACCAAAGATACACAGGGTTATAGCTGCACACTCGTGCATGTGCTCTCTCAGCCCAAGAACACGCATGATGATAGAAATAATCCGGGGGAAACACGCTAGCACCGAAGTAAGCATCAAGACGTAAATAGTGCAGCTCTGAAAAAGTAAAAAATTACATTGACATGTACATTGGTGTGCCGAGTAGTATCATCCTTGATTACCCATCCAACCAAGACGTTATCAGGTCCCAGACGCCGAGATCGCACGCCGAATGTGAAGTGCATCTAGCCTTGAACCTGGTGCGCAAGGCACACACATAGGACAAAAATGACATCCACTCCGATTATTTCCAGAGGCCAATCATAACAGAGCACAGAAATTAAACCACAGGCTCAACAAACGCAAAGGAAGTTAGTTAAGGGGGCAGCCTACCCATAAATTTCATATGGCATTCAATTGACCGTAACTTTGGTGTTTCTCAATGGATTTGAGTGAAATTTTGACCACACACTCCTGCCACTATGCTGGCCCTCAGGACATGATTTACAAGTTCTTGTGCCTCACTGACAGGCTTTCCAGGCCAGAAAAACTCAAATTTCTGGAATAGTGCCACGGTGTGCGAGCCACCCAGGAGCCAAACAAATGCATTTACAATTTATTCACAGTTTCGTGCCCATTCTGTCCGTGCGCGGGACCCAAACCTAAAACAAGTCCAGATGCAGCCATGGGTGGTGGGGTAGGGCCCCTCAACGCGGCCCTGCAATCTGTCACAACGGAACGAGTGGGCGTTCTCTCACGGACTCCCACAGACCCAAGTCAATTTTTGATTTTTTTTAGGTTTAGCACGTGCTACGAGGTCGTACCTTTGATACAACATCCAGTGCTGGGACGTCCACAGCAAGCCATTTCCACAGCGCTCCACACCAAATCCAGGATACACTCAGAAACCGGCAAAGACTACCACTCACGTTCCGCTACTGCCCAGTACTGAATCCTACCTGACTTCTTGACACGACTCAAACTTGCCAAAGTCACTAAATCAACGTCAACTACAATAATCAAGCCACATATCTGCAACGTCACGAGGGTGCTGGCAAAAGTCCTGCTGCAATATGTGGCTCAAAAACGTGATTTTTTGGACTTGGAGCAAAATTCTGCACACTTTCGCGTGTTTCCATGATACGAAAAGTTGAGCACGGTCTGCTCACATTCAAATACAGTGCTGCCAACAAATGACAGCGTGCAACAAAAAAATCTTTCCTTGCAAGGGGACATTTTCGGCCATAACTCTTGAACGGCTGGTCAGATCAGGACAACATTTTCAGAGAATTTGCAGCTATTCATGCTCTTTCAACTGATGTAGCACTCGATATGAATTTACAAAATCGACTTTTCAGCAAATTTTTGGGTAGTCTGCCACCTTAAAATAATCCATGAAGTGCTATTTTAATTCCCGTAGCTATGCAGAAGACGTTACTTCAGTAACGTCTGGCGCTAGCCAGGGTCCACACAGCTTTAATTTGGTGTTTGTTTGTGTGTTTGTTTGTTTGTGTCACGCCTGGCGCTATCCCGTATCTGTCCCGTACTGTACCGTACCAGCAAAGACAGCTGGCCACAATATTTTTGTTTGTTTGTGCCATCGACATGCCTGGCGCTATCCCGTACCTGTCCCGTACCATCAAGAGTACGGTACCATCAAGAGAATGAGTATATATGCGAAGTGTATGGGGGGAATGCATTCAGTGCAGTACCATTAAATTTTGTGTGGATTTGTGTGCGAGGCCGAGATCCCACTAGCAGGCTGGCTGGGCCGCCTGTCGACCAGCCCGGGAATCGCATGTAGGCCGATAGCATAATAATTATAACGTATAGACCTTATTCGATAAACGTCACAATCACGTGAACCGGGGTCCCAGGATCCAGGGAGTGGCAAGAGATCTGCGCTCAGTGCACAGTGGACTCTGTGTGCGAACATAGGAGTAGATAAATACCGGTATTTTACTACTCTTTTGTACAAACTGGGCCTTTCTTGCCAATCGTTTCTCGTACGCGTGCCCTAGCTTATTACAAATCCCTGGAGGCGAGTCCAAAAGTCACGTTATCGAATAAGGTCTATATACAGTCATGTAGATGTATAGCAGGGAGTCATATTATGTAAACGACTCCCTGCTGTATGGGGAGATTTTCTGGAAAGAAATACGAAGTAGGGAGACGAGTAAATGCGATCAGAATGGATGTTAGTTGCCGTCAGTATAATAATAATAAGAAGAAGAAGAACGCCCGTGATCGGCAGAGTCAGCGCCGGTCCCAGAAAACGTCAGGACAGACATCCCGTCGACTCCAGAACGCCCGTGATCGGCAGAGTCAGCGCCGGTCCCATAGCTATGCAGAAGACGTTACTTGTACTTCAGTATCTCATTGAAACGTTTTTGCAATACAATGATGTAGCTAATCAAAGGAAAAAGCATGTCCATCAGTTCTAACAACATGCGCGATGAGCTAGGCAACAAAGCATAGCGCAGGGCCCTGAGCTTCCAAGCTCTCTCGTTCCAGCGCTGACTGCAGTGTGGCATCATGGCCCAACACCCGCTGAGCATAGACACAAACTCCATTTGACATGGGCAAGACATACTAGTAAAGTCATAAAGTACAGCATTCCAATGACATGACGGACACCTTGTGCAAATGGGTGGTCTGTTCATCTATATCTGGCCAACTCCCACGCATGAGAGTGTGTGCATGTACGCACGCACGCAAGCGTGCGCGTGCACACACCATGTATTCGGTGCGTATGGCGTGCCTGTTGCGGAGATGGATGGAATCACTATGTATACAATAAAGCGGGATTCACAAAAGCTTTTTTTCGAAGCGACACGCGATGCGAACTCGCGAAATACCATTCACAGAAGAAGTCAGTGATGCTACAACATCTTGCTGATTTGGCTACGTCACCATTATATTCGCGTGGTTTGATACATTATTATTATTATGCAATTATGCGTCAATGTCAGCGGTGGTAAACCGCCCACAAATTCGCACGTGCTGAATGGACTTGGGAAATGAAAATAAAACAAAAACAAAAAGGGCAACGACAACAGAAATAGAAATACACTAGCAGCACCCCCGGCCAGCGTTGCCTGGCCGAATGTGGCATGCGGGTGAAGCAAGTACATGAACAGCACCCGTGCTCAGCAGTGGTGGTGGCCAGACCGCTGAAGTCCTGGTGAGGGGGGTTCTTCATCGTTGGAAGGAGAAGGAGGGACGTCTGTTACGCCTTCGGGAGGCTGGTCAGGGTTGTCCATCACCTGGTGGCGGATGAAGCGGCTCAAAAAATTCATAAACTTACGAACAAAAGTGCGATGCGCTCTTCACTGCAGATCAGATGCAGAGTGCAGTCAGTGCAGATCTTTTGCATCCTTTTGTTGCAGATGTTTCTATTTGCAGAGAACGGTTCACGTGGTCCGCAGCGCTTGTGCGGCTGCTAGTGCTACCTACTGAGCACGCGAAGCGTGCGAATCATGTAGCCACCTAGCCTAGGCCATAGGTACCTATGGCCTAGGCTAGGTGGCTACATGATTCGCACGCTTCGCGTGCTCAGTGCTTCTGCGCGCGGCTGCTACTGGTATAGCAGACACGATCAGTAGATCTACGAGTAGCAGTACTGCTACTCGTAGATCTACTGATCGTGTCTGCTATACCACCTAGTACCTACACTGTTCGCACGCTTCGCGTGCTCAGCACGTGGCCTGGTGGTGGTGGCTACACGATATCGAACGCTTCGCGTGCTCAGCTCATCAGTGCTTTTGTGGCTGCTTCCGCTAGCTCCACGATTCGCACGCTTCGCGTGCTCAGTGCTTCTGCGGCCGCTAGCTACACTGTGCTACACGGTTCGCATGCTTCGCACGCTTCGCGTGCTCAGGGCAGCGTGACATACACACACACACGTCACAGGTGCCTCTTCTTTATAAGGAGCGTGACACACACACACACACACACACACACAACACCTTGGACCTTGGACGCCCATCGCGTAGCGATGATGGCTCAGACGCGGCAGTGGGGGGCGTGCCTCTTCAGGTCCCCAATGCGGCCAAAGGGACGGCCACATGCGCAACGGAACTCTTTCGGTCCGGGTGGAGGAGGCTGCTGACGACACAACCGCTTCCAGGTTGGGCGATCCTGGGCCTGATGGAACCATTCTCCCTCTCCGATCTGTGCCGCAGCTAGATCAGTGACAACAACGTCACGCCATCGCTTCTTCGGACCGTGGCGGGGGCGAGTGGCATATAACTCGCCAAATACCATCTGCTGCGGAGTGCGGTGTTCCTCCATACGGGCAATGTGCCCCAGCCAGCGCAGACGATGCTGTCGGAGCAAATCGGAGATGTCAAGAGACATGCCAAATCGCCTGCCCAATTCTGCCGATGTGAGCCTGTCCTCCCACTGCTGGATCCGCGATACACCGAGGATAGACCGAATACAGGAGCGATGGAAGACGGCCAGCCGATGGACGTGGGTAGCCTTCACAGCCCATGTCTCTGCACCGTAGAACAGAGTGCTCAGGACAAAAGCGCGATACACCATGCACTTAATGCCGATGGATAAACCCCGGCACCGGAAAATCGGGGTCAGGAGGCAACCAAACACACGAGATGCCTTGGCCAAGCGGGAGGTGATCTCCACGTCCAGTGACCCATCGCAACTCACCACACTACCGAGGTAAGTAAAGCCGGAGACCATCTCCACAACCCCACCACCATCGAGGACGACATCAGGTTGTAGGTCCCCCGGGCCGACTGCTATGGCCTTTGTCTTGGCGATGCTGACAGTGAGACCCCACTGAGAGGCACAGGCGATGAACTCGTTTGCCAGGGTCTCCAGATGTTCTCTTGATGTGGTGTATACAGCGGCATCATCAGCGAACTGGGACTCGGTAACTTGGTACGTGTTCAGTCGCGCCTTGGTTGTTCGATCCCCAACAAGCTTCCGGCCAGGGCGTGAGCGCAGGGACACGCCGGGAACAGAAGAGCGGGAACGCCAAGACGACATTACGGCAGCAAAATACAGATTGAATAGGGTGGGGGCAAGAGTACAGCCTTGGCGAAGACCATTGTTAACATATATGTCCTCCGTCAAGCGACCAGATATACGAACCCGAGCCCTCATGCCGACATGTAGGGACCGAATCAAGCTGAGAAGGGTAGGTGGAATACCGAGCTTCCCGAGGACAAGCCACAACGCCTCACGAGGTATGCTGTCATAAGCCTTCTTCAGGTCGACAAATATGACATACAGTGGCGTATCATGTTCGATGGCCTTCTCGATTAGCTGGTGCGCCACAAACACCATGTCGACGCACCCACGTCCCTTCCTAAAACCGCACTGTGACTCAGGCAGCACATCCTCGGACAGTTCCTGAAGGCGATCCTGGATAACCCGTGCAAACAGCTTACCGACTACATCCAACAGGCTGATGCCTCGCCAATTGTCACATGACCGTAGGTCGCCTTTCTTCGGTATGGGTACAATCTCAGCGTCGCGCCACTCAGAAACAACGGAGCCACCTGCCTAAATCTGGGAAATCAGAGAATGAATACGCCGGTGGAGAGCAAGACCGCCACCCAGCACCAATTCCGGCACAATACCTGACGAGCCACCAGCCGTGCCCCTACTCATCCTCCGCATTGCAGCCATCACCTCCTCAAATGTCGGGGCCATGTCAAGTTCATGACGCGGCTCAGCAGTAGGCATGTTATCAATGACATGCATACTAAACTGACTAGCAATGTTGAGCACTCTGTCGAAGTGTGCATGCCAACGCGTAACAAGACTTTCCGGGCTGTCAGTAAGGTGTCCGTCTCCATCATAAACCGCCGAGGGTGTGACCGTACGCCTGCCATCATCCACTCGCTGCAATTTTCGGATGCATTTCCACCTCACACAGCCATCCCTTTGAGCACGCTCAGCATCACCGACCACCTCACGGATCCATTGTTCCTTTGCACCACGCACCGCCCTCGCAACCGACCGCTGGGCTGATCTAAATCCGGAACGTGTCGTTTGATTGCCTGCCGACAACATTCGTTCATGGGCACGTCGCTTCGCCTCAATAAGTGGCTCCAATGCTGCCCTGTTCTCCAGAAACCAGTCTGGTTGCCGCCACCGACCATGGCCCAGTGTTCTCTCCGCCACGCTGGTGATGTCATCACGAAGGGAATTCCAGGTCTCTTCAACACTCTGGCCACCACCGACCACGCCACCACAGGCTGCCTCCATTGACTCTCGGTACTGCAGTAACGTATCAGGCTCACGCAGGCGATGGGTGGCATACGACCTCCGCTTAGGGACAGTGGATCTACGTTGGACGAAGTCCAGGACAAGCACACACACACACACACACACACGTCACAGGTGCCTCTTCTTTATAAGTAAAGATTACAAGACGTACCTGCTAAGGGGCACATGACAGATTGCTCAGATTGAACAGAGGATGCAGACACAGGATAAAGGGCATTGTCGACTCCGTTTTGAGAATAATCCAGTAAAATGGTGGCAGGTGGATACAAATCCACGCACTACGTTAAGAAAGGAATTTTGTTGGTATTTTAAAAGATGTTAATTATTATTATTACCGGTTTGATACAACTTGTACAAATTTATAGGCAACTCTTGAACCTTTGTACAACTTTGCTGTAGAAAAGGTCAAAATCGTACGCCAAATCGCTTGTCGCATCGCATCGCATCGCAGAAGTTGAGCCAAGCTGCGATGGCCAGCGATGGCCCAGTTGCGGCAGTTGCGTGGAGTGCGACTTGGCTGCGATTTGGGGTTTTCCCGGTTTCACGCCTGTCGCATCGCGTGTCGCATCGCAAAAAAAGCTTCTGTGAATCCCGCCGTGACGGTCGTAGCTACATGTACATGTACAATGTAGGTCGGACGGTGCGTTGACCCCGTTGAACTTTTGCTACTACGAACTGTACAGTACAACGCCCTCTACAAAAAATCCCCTGTTATTTTGCATAGAACCATTAAACCAAGAGTCCATAACCCCCCGGGGGGTTATGGACTCTTGGTTATACATAATGCATAAGGCTGTGTTTACATGAGAAATTTCAACCCGGGTCGAGTTCAGCCCGGGTTGAAAGTCTGTATGATAGACAAAAGAGGTGAGCGTTTACATGAAGACGGTGGACCCGGGTCAAATACTGATATGCCGCCAAAAGTCCACTTCTACAGTCCCCATGTAATGGTCAGTCCTTGACTTAGTTTGGTAATCGTTTTAGTACCTCGAACCCCGTGCTGAGTTTGATACGGTTTCTGGTATCTTGGCCGTAGACTACTACGCATACTGCTTATAGCGGTTTCTTTGCATTTTACTGATTGATTACCTGATTACTAGTATACTGGTTTTGTAAAACTTCTACAGTCCTGTATGGTCACGTGAATCCGTTCGCGCTAATTTTTTTTTCACTCTTTGAGCCTCTTGTACGGGCAAAATAACACATTTTGTGAGCGCTACTGCGCTAGCCCCCACAGTCTCACACAGCTTTTTATACCACCCTCTCCTGGCATATATACCGGCATGGTCGGCACCCGATCTTCATGTTGCCTGATGATTGCGTAAGCATGAAACTTAAAGTAGCAGCAAACAAGCCTTGATTGTCCTTGTTGTTCTGTTGTGAAGAATCAACACATAAAACCAAGAGTACATAACCCCCCAGAGTGTGCAACGCCTGATCCAGCTCTGCATAGGGTACTAGGGTCTTGGTCGAGCGGAATCGGATCTTTGCGTCATAATACCGTACACATCTGAGGGGAACCCGGTGAGTTGCGGGTACGAGGTGATTCGTCATTATTTAACACGAAAGTAAAAAAGCCTTCCGTAGGGTTCGAGGTGCGAATCTTTCCATTTCTTCCTCTAAAAGTGTAATACTGATGTCCTTAGATTGCAATGGTGGGTTGTTCATTCACATAATCCTTGGTGTTGGGAAGCAGGGGGCAGTTGAAAAATGGCAATTTTTCTGCATATTATTTGTTGTGGTCATTTCTTAACATCATGGTAAAATAGGCCCTAGCACCACAATTTCGAGTCAGTTATCAATAGAAAGAGACCCTACGTATTCAGGATGGTCCAGAAAGACTGGATCAAAAATATGTTCATCCAAATACAAGCCATTCAAGCTTGCATAGCAATAGATGTATCACCCTGATTTCATATGCAATTGTGATCAACATCTGTGAGTAAATTCAGTAATTGCCAATGTTTGGCCAATACCAGGGCCAACACACCGACATTTCTCCTTCCCAGGCGTCGTTTCCAGTATGTAGCTATCATATTCTTCCTCTTCAGCTAAATGTGTTGTCACTGGAGGTTGAAACCAGCGGCTATGACTCTCTTATACTCTATTTTACCGTAAACATCGCGCACATGCAGACTGAAAGCTCTTGAAATGTCACTTCGTGAAGGAATATCAGTCTCAATTTTGGAGGCGAACTTGACAGAACATTGGCAATGGCAATGGCAAAAAGAAATTTGACATGAATTTTTGCAGGCGCTGGCAATGGGATATCTTACCGATTTGTTAAGAAATGACTCAATGTTAAAAAATTACGAATCACCTCGTACTTTTGGATCAAAAACAATGGTGCCCTGCCTCGAGACTGGCCTTGCGCTGGTGTGAAGTGTACGCATGACATCAGAAGATCCGATTCCGCTCGACCAAGACCCTACACAGAGCTGGATCGGCGTTGCACACTCTGAGGGGTTATGTACTCTTGATAAAACGAATCATCAGATACAGTATTTACAGAGTCTGTCACTCAGTAGGATCACTGCACTGTGCAGGTTCACTGGATGCGTGCCTCCGCCGCCACTAGCACAGCAGGAGACTCAGGCACAGCAGGAGCAAACATGCTCCTTGAGCCACGCAGGCACATAGCACCACAACGTATCAGGGCAAACCCAAGGCGGCAGCGCAGCAAGGAGATAATCTGCCCGTATGGCTTCTTACTCTTCTCAGCCAGGAGAGAGGCGATCCGCGTGAAAAGAGCATTGGCATGCTTGCCATAGCCACCAGAGGCAGAAAGCACAACGGGCACGAAGGAGGCATGCTCAACTTCACGTACTCGCTCCTCGTACTTCCGGTGTAAACGCGAAAACGGTTCCTCCGCGAAAATGGTTCCAGGCATACACCGGTTTCCCCCTGGAATCCACAGCCCACTAATTTCTGATGTATGACTAGCCGGGCTAGCCGCGAAAACGGTTTCAGGGATTAATTTTCTGGTGTAGGACCATCCGCGAAAACGGTTCCAGGCAACTGCGACCACTGTCTACTGTGGAACCGTTTTCGCGGACTGCAGCAACTGGGATCATCCGCGGAAACGGTTCCAGGCTCCAGTCTGTACATCCTTGACTGCTCCAGTACTGGGAAACTATTCGAAGACTTTTGTGACTGTTGCTTTCCATTGCCTTTGTAGAGAATCACTCGCGATGACCGAGGTATTTATGAGAGTTTGTGACTGTTGCTTTCCATTGCCTTTGTAGAGAATCACTCGCGATGGCCGAGATAATTATTAATGAGAGTTTGTGAGAATTCTTATTTTATGGCTTTCCTCTCAGACCTTACAATTTTTCAGTAGCTGTACTGCTGGCACTTGGCTTGGAGACATTTAGCAGGATTTGTGAGAACAGCTGGTACTTCAGTACATGGCTACCTGAACATTGATGGACATCTCGATTTGGTTTGTAGATGCAAATCCTGCTAAATGTCTCTAAGGCAAGTATGGAGATTATAGAGATCTGGATTTGACTTCTGGATGTGAATCACCGTCAGCACTTATCAAGCCATCCATGCAGTACACCTACGTGAAGAACTCCTCAAGTCATGTATGTTGTACGCCTACGTGAAGAACTTAGTGGAGCTAGTGGAGCTGCACCATACTCTTAACATCTTGGCTGTGTCTGTGTCTGGCCATAAAGCTAGAGTTTACCTGGGACCCGCTCCTTCTACAAGAGGTCAGAGCTGGTGTCCCAGTGTCGTCATGAGAACAAGTTCTACCTTCGTAACTTTGTCGGCAACACATGCATAGCTTTGTTATCACGCTACCTGCTTTGTGTGTGGGTGAGGGTGTGTGTCTGCGGCTGTGACTTTCGCTGTCCGAATGACTTATCCCGACACAATAATTACTGTGTGGAGAGGAGTATGTGGGAGAGACAGAGTGTGTCAGGGAGCGAGTCCAGGAACATTACCGAGAAGCGAGAGCCAGTGACCCCAGAAGCCCTGTTGTCATGTGTGCTTGTTCACGCCATTGTTATATACCGGTAGGTCAGCACAATGTTGTAGTGTAAGTG